GGAAAGAGGGATTGAGCCAGAGAGATTATTGTGAGAGACGTTTAGGCTCTCTAAGCTTCTAAGCTTTCCAAAATCGGGTGGCATCTTACCACAAAGTGAATTGTAACTCATATCCAAATCTTGCAAACTCACCAGATTACACATTTGATATGGGATTGTACCATTCAAGTGATTCCTGCTCAGGTGTAAATCTTGCAGCTTGGTGCAGTCCCCTATGCGCTCCGTGATTGGTCCACTTAGCATGTTCATTGAGAGGTCCAAGAACTCCAAGTCGGATAATTGCCCAATGCGCGCAGGTACACCACCTGAGAGCTTGTTATCTTTCACATTTAGGACGGACAATTTGGATAAGTTTCCAATATTTTCTGGTATCTCTCCAGACAGTTGATTGGAAGAAAGATCAAGCCCCACTAGTTGGTTCAATCCAACAATCTCATCTGGGATTTTGCCACTAACCATATTTCCTGTTATTTTCAGAAATGTTAAGTTCCGGCATTTTCCCCAGTTTGGCGAGACCTGGCCCATCAATCTGTTGAAGCTTAAGTTGATAAAAGTGAGGTTTGGATACACACCAAAATCTTGGTCTAGATGTCCTGTGAGTTGGTTGTATTCAAGCCTAAGCCTGTATAAAGATGGGCAATTTTTTAGGCTTATTGGGATTGGACCTGTGAAATTGTTGGAGTCTGCAGTGAAATTGACAAGATTTCCACCTCTGCATACTTGTGGTGGCAAATGGCCAGTGAAGTTGTTCTCTGCCAAATGCAGAACAGTCAATGACGAATAATTTCCTAATCCCACTGGTACAAAACCAGAAAATCGGTTAGTGAACACACGCAAGTCAGACAACTTGCTCAGGGTAGCTAGCTTTTCCGGGATTGGACCTGACAGTTGATTGTTGGAAAGACGAAGAATACTTAAGTCACTCAAATTGCCAAAAGATAGAGGAATAGGACCATGGAAAAAATTGTCATCTAGAGCTAAGAGAGACAGGAACTTTAAGTTCCCAATCTCTTCAGGAATTTTTCCACCAAGCAAAGTATCTTGGAACAACAGATGTTTGAGACTTTTGAGGCCAGTTTTGGAGGAACTTGTGCCGTCAGGGAATAGACGGCGGTCCAACACTCCAGTTATCTGGTTTCGGGAGATGTCTAGCTCGTAAACCCGAGTGAGATTAGCAAGAGAAAGAGGCAGCGAACTGTTGAGAGAATTTGTGGAAAGATCAAGATATTCTAGATTGGAAAGCATGCCAATGCTGATTGGTATGGTGCCAGTGAGTTGGTTTTCATTAAGATCAAGAATAACAAGGCTTGGAAATGAAGAAAAATCGAGGTTTTCGAGGGTACCTCTCAAACCTGCATATGCCAGGTTTATTTCAGTCACAGTTCCTGCTTTGTTGCAGGTAATTCCATACCATTTGCATGGACTTGGAAGGGCAGAACTGGTATTAGCTACAGGAAGAGCCCAAGACTCTAGAACTGATTGCTTTGGGAGACTAGCTTTCCATTTGAGAAGAGCCTCAACTTCTCTGCTTGATGTTGGACTAGCTTTGGTGGAAAATACCAAAACAATTACAAGAGTAACAAAGATTGCTAAGAATAAATTTTCTTTATTTGCCATACTTTTGGTTTCTGGTGAGTTTTTAGTAACTTAACTGATTACTTGTTACGCTTTATATATTTTATAGATCTTCTAGTTGTGACTAAATAATTTGCATGAGTATACTTTTATGTCCAAATGTGGTTGGTCAGCTCATTTACTCTTGACGGTTGAGATATTCTCACGACGTCGGCAAATGCAAGCTTCGGAATTTAGAGCCAGACCTTAACTAAATTTGAACACGAACATGGATCAAGTTGCATAAACTACATGAAAGCTACAGGTGAATCTGAATACGTCCAGAATGTAGGACTTTTTCTAGTCTTTTTCGACTCTTTTGTCGAGAAATACTTACATTTTGGTTGATGTCTATGCCCTTTCGAGATTGGCATTTGGCAAGTCAACAATCAACACTGCCCTTTTATTTATTTATTTGGAAGGCAACTTTGACATTCGGAATTATATTTGTCTTGAGTTGAAGAAATTTGGAGGGTATAAAAAAGCAAACGTAGGTAGCTATCAATCCTTTGGTTCATCAGTTATTGTATTTGTGTGTGAACGTTGAAACCATACAAAGATAAGAACTGGATTTCATGGAAATCTAAGGTCCATATAATCAGTTATTGTTGATTATAATCTTGAAGAAAATTATAGACATGCATGCTTTTCTGGATAGATGAAGTCAAACTTTGAGGCTATTGGTGGTGATAATCCTCAAGAACCAGATATGATGACATTGACTAGTTGCTGCCAGGTCTACACAAATCGTAACCATACTAATTGTATTTCATCAGCTTCCTTGTGAACCACTATTTTCTGTCCATTTACGACTAAAATTCTGCTTATGCATAAGACACAAAATCTAGTTAGAATCACTAGTTTAGTGTTGTAGGAAAATAAACAATGACTTGTGGAGTTGTCGTTTTGGTATTTGAAGATGGCTACAAGTCGTGTTACCCTCCTATGTTACACTTACTCATCCCAAGCCATTGATGATTACTTTGTTCCCATAAATTTTTCTGAACTTTATATAAACCCTTTCACTACTACTAGGGCCAGTTCCTTCGCATGAACGCAAAAGAAAAAACTAAGTGTGATTCTCTTTTCTACCTGATCATATGTTTACTAACAAAATCCATAATGAAAGTTTACCAGACCCCCGTACAATTATAAGGAATTAGCTCTTTATTGCGTCTATAATGAGAGTTTAGTGGAGAACACACAAGAATATTTTAGTAATTACATCAATAAGATTATTGAGAATAAGAGAGAAAACCATACACGTTAGTTTTTCAACCAGATTTCCACAACTAAGCTTCCAAAATAAAACTCATAACTTAGCAGAGTCGCACTAGTACTCATGCACCACTTGTTTTGTGATTTTACATATTTGGTTTGTGCTTTCAATGATTCATTGAAACAACGGCCTACAGCTAATTAAGTTCCTATAGGTATGCAAATCATACACACTAAAACAAAAGGCATCCTATAAATTTACATGCCTACAACAATTGTCAAACAACAACACAGTCACTTGTTCTGCTTAGCTGCAACTGTCCTCTGAACTGTGGAAACACCGTCCACAAATTTTGTCCGAAAGAGAACATTAGCGTTATTGAACATGCCTTCTTTCAGCGAAACTACGATGAACTGCAATTTGTTAAGAACCAAAAAGGATGGTGAGACGTCTGGCTAATTCTGAATAAGCAGGATAAGTATCGTATAATAGTCACATTTATCTTGTTGATCCTGAGTTTCAAATCAAAGTCCTGTTCATCATGCAAGCTTCAACAGCCATTTAAGTTATCAACAAAAACAGGCCTAGACTTGGAAATTTTGAAATTTTGAAAAAGTCATGTGCATTATTTAGGACACAACGTACTATTTACCTATTCATCTAGCTCTAACTTTAAGCAACAGAATTACTACTAAAAAAAAAGGAAAAAATCTTTACGCAACAGAAAAAGAACACTGGAAGTCGATATGAAGAAAAGTTCCCACAGAAAATTAAACACATAAGCAGATGAGAGTAGGACCTGAGAGTGTGGGAAATGAGCTTTGATCATTCTTCCTATGTTCTGGGTGTGGCTTAGATCAAGAGCTGCATCAACCTGCCAATAAAAGAACAGCTTCAGATGCACCCCATACGACTTTTACTATAAACTTGCAGGCAATATGACTGAAATTCAAGTACTAGTAGTTTTTATCAAGAAACGAACTTATGATAATCTTGTTTTCAAGCAGCATAAACTGAAGTATTGTTTATTAAAGGCATGTCTGTGCTGCTGATGCAATAATAACGCCTTTTTTACAAAAGATAACAAAGTGTGTAGTTAAGCGTACCTCATCCAATATATAAAGAGGAGCGGGTTTAAAGAGAAGCAATGCCAAGATTAGAGAAAGTGCAAGCAGAGACCGTTGGCCTCCACTTAGTTCTGACAATGACTGTTTCCATACTCCACCAAATGCGACACGAACCTCAAGGCCATCTAGAAAGCTGCCCCCTTCAGGAGGTTCTAGCTTTGCCGAGGTGCCAGGTAAAAGGGTGGAAAAGATAGATCCAAAGTCACTGAACAAATTGCAAGTAAAAGAGCATAAGAACAAACAGCAGTATAAGTTATCCCAAAAGATAAATTCAAGATCAGATGGCCCATGAAAAAAAAATCACCTGTTAACTTTGACCCAGGTAACTTTCAACGTTTCCTTCTTTTTCTCATCCAGTTCTTCAATCACCTTCTTGATTTTAGATTTGTCATTCTGGGCAAGACAAACTTAGATAAGTCGAGAGAGCTTAAGATATGATGGTTATCGCTATAATCAAGCCACTGACCTCGATGATATTTTTCTTGGACATTAAGTCATTGTACTCATCTTCTGCTTTCTCAAACATTGCCATTACTTTCTTGTTGATCCTTTTCTCAAGGCTACACAAGAAGGAGAAATTCACCTTATCATGATCATTGGATTAGCTATATAATATGTATAAGGAGAATAAGCATGGGTACATCAGACCTAAGGAGCAATTTCAAGGAAGAAATAATTGGAAAGAAGGAAACTATCAGAATTACATACCCCGACTGTTCAGCCTGCAATTTCTCAAGTTCTTCCCTTGCTCTAGACAAATCACGAGACGCAAAATCATAATCGGTCCCATTTTTTCCAAATAACTGTTTCTCAGAAGCAATCCAGGCATGCTTCTCAATCAATTTATCAACCTTTGTAGAACAATCTTTTTGTTCCATTTCCATTCGCTTTACCTGAAAGAAGTTTTGAAAATGAGTTGTTTAGATATACAAATATTTAATGGAGAATGCTTAGAGAGTGTTAGGAACCTGATAATTTCCTCAACCAAACAACCAAACACTCACACATACACAAGCAGCCAACACCAGATTTGATCCAAACAGAGGAGTTTTATTGAATTTTATTTCAACACCAGCTCATACAAACCAAAACCAGCTAGAGAAAATTAAAGAAAGCAAAATGGATAGAATGGAGAATTCGAGTACTTCAGGGACTCCTAATTTGGGGTATTCGAGAGACCACCACTCTCCCTAATCTCATTCTCCCAAAACCCTCAAAATCACAGCATAACAATCTCTGCACCTTCCCTCTATTTTTATACCTTTCCTCTAATCCTAGCCAAAACCAACACATATCAGCACTAACATAATTTATGAGAAATTATGTCCAAACCGAACTAATTCCTTTCTCCTCACTTAACCCCTCTTAGCCATTAACTTCGTAAGAACTAGTGTCTAACAGAGAGCATTGACAAGTAATAATTTACCTCATTTTCCAATTTCTTCCTTTCAAGACTTGTTTCACTAATTTTGTGTTGAAGTTTTTGTTGCTCCTTAAGAATGCTTCTGATTTGGGAATCACATTCTTTCATCTTCATACGGATCAGATCGAGCTCAGATTGTACCTTGTCATGAGTGTTTTTAGTCAAAGCAACCTGCAAAACAGAGGCATGTGTTATGAATTCAACTAGACTACAGAAACTGTGAGCCAACTATCAGTATTTACCTTGGCTTTCTGTTCTTCTACTTCTGTCGTGAGAATGTTGATTTGTGCTCTCATTGAAGATAATTGGGTCTCCAAAGTCGCACGTTCCTCAATAACTGCTTCCATTTCCATAACAAGCCTCTCTTTTTCATTTTCATGCCCCTACACAAGTACAATAATACAGCAATATATCAAAGAGCATTACAAGAACAGTAACCAAGAATTTTGCCTTCTGCTTCCTAGCTCCGTAACTTTTAGCTCTTGAAGAACTCTATAAAATATTGACCTCTGAGAAAAAACCTTAGAAATTATCGATGCGCAGTAATGTTGACTAGCATAATAGCATATTATCAAAATTCAAAATCGCTCCCAAAATTTTCATAGTTTGGAATATCTGAATTTCTAAAATACTCAGGTTTCTAACCTTTTTTTTTTTTTTTGAAGTCAGGTTTCTAACTATATTTATAAACAATTAGAATAGATAAAAAAAATCATTAAGTTGGAAAAGCAGATCAGCTCCCAGAGAACCTGAAGACAACTTACAACACCCCACGAAAATGAAAACCTACCTTTAGATCCTTCATAGATGACTGCATTTGAGCTTTTGTTGCCTTGATCTTTTTCTCCAAATCTTTAAGCATACCCGCGCGATTGTTGTCATGTTCTTTGATTGATTTCTCAAGCACTGACACTTTATTTACACAATTTTTGTACAAGAGTTCCTTTTCTTTCGCAGCAGATTTTGTTTCTTCAAGCTCCTTCTCCATCTTTTTTACCAACTCACCAAGCTAGTCGATGCCCAAAATAGTAAAAGGAAAATGGGTGAGAACATAGCCGATGAAAAGAAGTAATTTGGTAGCATAACAAATACATTCAGGAAAAAACCTTATGGTGCTCGTTTTGCTCAGCCCTTCCCTGGAATAATGAAAGATCATACCACTTAAGCTCTAACTGTGATTTGAGGTCCGTGAACTTTTTCTGAAGAGGCAAAAGCTCAGCAATCTGCAATTTAAGGGGAAAATTAACAAAACCAGGGAGCGCAAGTGTTATATAAGGGAAAAAAAATTACAAAAAAGGAAAAAAAAAAGTAAAACTAAGACAAAGAAAACAACAGAAACGCCAACTCATAACACTCATCTCTGCATAATATCACGTATAACATATAGTGGAAGCATTTTTACAGTTTATTGGAGCCTGTTTGGTGTAATAACCCAGATAATAATTTCCTTATTTTAGAGACCGAGAGAGAGAGAGGCATGCAAATGAATCCATCTACCCTAACAGCTACAGGCAGGGATCATCTAAAGACATGCTTAAAAACTTATACATCAGCCTCCCAATTCTCAAAGTAACCAACAAAAAAAAAAAGAGCAAAACAATGATACATAAGAACCTTACTGAATCAATCAATTAGAAAACTTAACACGGCAGTCTTAATTATCTTTTATGTCACTTTTAAAATGAAAAGAGGGTTTCAAAGAACAACCTTTCCTTCAATTTCAGTCAATCTTTTCTGATGTGTGGAAAGTTTTTCCTCAGCCACAGCCAGATCATGAAGTTGTCGTAGCAGATCGCCTCCACCCCTGTGACAATAAATCATTGTTTTAGAAGGATGACTGGCTAGAAGTAGCTAGAAACACTCCAAACTATATTCTAATACAGCAATAAAAGTAGCATAAAACTTTAACTACTCATTGGAGCAAGCATATGTTGATAAGTGACAAGTATGACAAGCTTAAGTTGGTCAGAGACTCAGAAGAACTTTTTAGCTCTCTAGTGAAGAATATCTTGATAGGGGCTGGAATAAAGATGTATGCATGCGTATACCGACTAAACTAGAATCACATGCATTATTGACTTACTTGCGGCTTCCACCGGTCAAAAGGCCACTGGGCTGGAATATATCACCTTCAAGGGTGACACTTGGGGTGCGAATTTCCCTGCTAAAAGCAATCTACAAAAAATTTTTAGGGTGGTTCAATCAGAAGATAAAACTCAACGGTTAGACTTAACAATATTTAACATGTTTTCGGGGCATTAGTTGCACGGAACCAACAATTATGATGATTAATCAAGAAAACTAGTTTACTAGAATGTTAAATCCTCAAAATAAATCCATTAAATAATTATAGGCATTTCTGATGCTTTAACAGAATTTAGAATTTAAAACGCACTGTTCAAAGATGCTATCTGAACGTGGTATGGGAGATGGATATACCTCCTTTGCAGCATCAACATTTTTGCAAACAAAGGTAGAACCAAAAATAAATTCCATCGCACTCTGCAGTAAAAGTCAAGTTTTAGATGAATGTATAATTAGAAAGAAAAGGAACTTGCATAATTTAACAATGCAACACCAACGAATAAAACATAAAAAAATTCCTGAACTAGCAATAGCCTGATTCTAGGAAAAACCAAACAGGCTTATCTACTCCGTTAAGTGCCAAAATACTGAAAGAGAATTCTCACACAGTTTAACGGGGCCTAGTGAAACCATACCTTCAATTCCTTATCATAACCAACCAAAGAAAGCGCCAATTCTGCACTCTCCTTTCCAACCTAGAAAAGCATTATTAAACATGTTAAGAAAGATAAGTTGTGCCTTATTGTGAGGCAATGAAAGAAAGAGAGAAAGACATAAAAAGGGCTTCACGAGAAACCAACCAATCTAACAGCTGCTTGTCGGACCCTTTCTGGAACAGTGTGTGACTGTATTTTGTTCAAGGGTATGATAGTTACTCGCCTTCGAAGGTCACCATTCTGAAGAAGTTGTTTCCCAGTATTTTCTGTGTCCACAACAACGTTAAACAACTTTCCGCCAGCTGTTACCTGTATAGTTGATCAATATGAGTCAAAGATTAAACCTATCATCAGAAACCTTTAATGCAAAATACGTTATGAAAAGCATGGCTGACCTCTATTGCAGTCATTGTGGTGCTATCCTTCACTTTGATAAGTTTCGCAACTACACCTTTCACCTTTGACCTATCAAAGTTCTTCACAGGATCACGATATTTGATCTCAACGCTTACTAATTGAGCCAAAAGATTTCGAATTTCATCCTTCAACTTCTGCACCCGCTCAAACTCCAATGCACGATCCTATACAAAAAATATTTTTATTTAAAGGAACTATTCAAACTGGCTCTTTTCCCTTTTTTCCCCTAGATAACCAAACTGAGTACGGTATGTTACATAGGGACAGACAAAATTATTAGACTAATGGCTTACCTTTTGCAAAGCTTCCATCTGGCCCTCCTTATATGGAAGAGACTCTAGAGCCGCTCTAACATTCTCCACGTCTTTTTTCCTAGCACTGAGTTCGTTCTCTACAGAGATAGCTTCTTCACGCTTTGACATTAGCTGATGTGTTTTCTCTTTCAACTCCTTTTCACAATGGCTTATTTTGGTTTTTAGTTGCTTCAGTTCTGTTTCAGCACTCCCAACAGCTACCTTAGCATCAGACAGCTGATTTTCTAGACTTTTCTCCTCATTCCCGCTACTTTTCCCAGCTAGTACACCCTAACCATTTAGATTACAACAACAGTTTTAAGCATGTAAACGAAGCCAAATAATAATGTCCTCGGTTTGTAGTGAAAGAACTAGCATATACAGATTCACAAAACACTATTTACCTGGTATTCCTTTTCAAACTCCTCCAGACCCTGAGAAAGATCCTCGACCCTCTTCTTTAGATCAGCTGCCCCATCTTCAGCCCTTTTCACAGCGGTGGTTCTCTCTTCTACAGATTGCTTCAAATCTTCAATGTTTCTAACAATCTGATAACATCAAGATGCAAAATACAAGCAATAATTTACACCAACAGGACAAACCAAGGAAACAGCAATGATAGTTGTTGTATTAGAAAAGGTATGCATATAAATCCTAAAGGTGCAGAAAAGAATCTAGTGAGTTGTCGGCAATGGCTAATTACCTTTTCAGCATCTTTATTTTCAGTCTTGAGATTATCCTCTTTATTATTCAGTATAGAAACTTCCCTAACAAGATCCTGAGATAGAGCATCTACTTTATCTGACAAATTTTTAACTTCTCCACCCATACTGGCTTCTTTCTCAGCAGTTATCTCCTTCATTTTTGTCTCCATTTCCTGTACTTCTGCCGTCATCTTTCCTGTATTTTCATCGATCTCACCAATTTTGGCCTTCACTTGCTCCACATCACTTAATGCACTGTCTCTAATCTTCTCCGTTTGAACATATTCATACGCAATGCAAAACCTTTTAAGCCGGTCTAACTCGGCAATACCATTAGCCCATTGCATATACTGCGTCCTCTCTCTCCTCAGCTTTTCCAAAGCAGGCAGTATTTCCAGGTCAAGAAGCTTATTAATCTCATCAACCTTACTTTGCTTCTTCTCAAGAGTTTTCAAAGCAGCATCTTTCTTCGTCTCATACATTCTTGTCCCAGCAGCCTCTTCAAGCATGGACAAAATCTCAGGGGGTTTCATGTTCAAAACCTTGGTGATGCGCCCTTGCATAATGAGAAAATGCGGGTTATTCACATTGAGCTGCACAGAATGAAAAAGATTCTGGACCTGACTAGGCTGGGCAAGTTTCCCATTTATCAAGTACTTGTTCCTTCCACCAACCACAATCTGCAAAGCAGAAATGTGCCAACACATCAAAATAATGCCCAAAACTCAAAGCTCGAATCTTGACAAAATTCAAACAATCAAATGTCACAAAATTTTATATAACCCTAGCAAATTAGCAAATTTTAAGGAGTTTAACCAAACGTATGAATGGATACCCAATCCCAATTCCCAAATGAGACCAATCTTCCTAACAAAATTAACATTATTAGCAGAAATCTAGATATCTCCAAGGAATTACCTGACGAGTGACCGTTATCTCGGAATGGCCCTCGTAGCCAAGGGGACTTCGGCTGCGGTCAGAGTTATTGAAGACGATGGAGACGGTGGCCTTGGTAATACCGGCTTGTCCTTGCTTGTAGACAAGTTCTTGGAGATTGGAAGCCCTGACCTGCTGCAAGTTAGTGATGCCCAAAACGAAGCAGATGGAATCGAGAATGTTGGACTTTCCGGAGCCGTTGAGCCCCGTTATGGCGTTGAAGAAGGGGTCGAAGCCCGGAACCACAGTCCTCGTCGCGTACGACTTGAACCCTTCCAAGCATATCTCTTTTAAGCGCATTTCTTCCTCGCTGCTCCGACTAGAAGAACCAGGTTACCTGGAAATCTACGGACTTGGAAGAAGAAGAAGAGGACGATGAATTCAAAGAGAACCTTATGGAAGGAGGAGATCTGAATCAGTGGGTAGTGATTCTGCGGGATCAAATTCAGAATTCGGCAATCGAAACCCTAGAAGCCCAAGCGACTGGCCCTCTCCCTCACTCTCTAAGATTGAGCATTTCAGCAGAAACTTCTTCTCACTCTAGAATCTCTCTTTCTCTCTCTAAACTTTCAATCTCTCTTCCTGCTCAAATCTTTTCTGAGATTGAAAATTGAAAAGAAGCGCTAAAACGGTGTTGGCTGGTCCCTGTCAGATGTTAATCGACTCCCAATCCCAAAGGCGGGAAAATCTTGAGTTTTGAGGAAAACACTTGCAATTCACGACGTGTCGTTTGTCTGGAGGAAAGGTTTGTTGCCGTTTTTCTCAAAACGATGAATCAAATCAAACGACACATTGGAAAACACTTTCAAGTTTCCTGTCGTTTTGGTGGACAAGCAACCAAACATCTCATTATAACATGTCAGATTACGTTTTAGTATTGGGTTAATTACAAAAATTCCCCAATTATATTATTTGTAACACTTTTGTCTCTTGATTTTTAAAATATAATATATCTTTTATTTGAACAATGAAATATTAATAAAAAAAAGCCCATTCTGTTAAATTTTTAATTGAAATTGACATTTAATTTGTTATTTTGAGGGTATTTTAGTAATTTTATAGTTTAAAATATAATTTGAATTTAAACTAATTTAAATATTTAAAGAAACATCATAAATTTTTTTATTCTACCAAAAAAATTGTAAAATTTTTAACGTACATTCAATCAATATTAGATGTATCATAATTACAAGTTAAAATTTAAATTAGTTTTAAATTCAATTCAAACTAAATTTAACTATATAACTACTAAAATACACCCAAAATAATAAATTAAAATGTCAATTTCCGTTTAAAAAACTAATAGAGGGGGATTTTTATTAATATCTCATGAACGGATTTTTATTAATATTTCATTGTTCATGAGGAATGAATGTTACGTTATAAAAATTGAGGTATATAGTGTTAAAAGGGGTATAATTCTAAGAGAGTTTTGTAATTAATCCTTTAGTTTTTGTTGTCAAATGTCAAGTAAGCCTATAAACGACCTCTTGTTTTTTTTTTTTTTTGGAGAATGTAGTCGAAGCTTGACGACATGCCATTCAATTATTATTATTATTATTTGAAATTCAATTGAATTTGTCGTTTTGTTATACATCATACTTTGTCAAATATCACGTAATAATGTAAATCCAAGAAATTCTAGTGAGTCGGTTCTTTTTGCCATGCTATAACCATATAGAAGTTTCCTGACGAATTATTGCTGTATTTGCAGCAATAACTATAGAAAAAAAAAAAAATCATTCAAAAAGAATCAAAATTGAGTATATACATGTCAAACACGAATCGCAATTCAACAATGATCAAAAATTCCATTTTGGTCTTGTTTCTTCTTCCTTCTCTGTTAACTCTCGATACTGGTACCAATCTGCCCCATACTTGCCTACTGGCAATGGGGGCCTAACGAAAATCTCAACCGGCCTCGGAACATGTACGACTAAATGCAGTTCGCCCGCAGTTTTTTCTGAACTTGAATCTGAATTGCTTGACATCTTGCTCATGGGTTCCACAGCAATCCATCCCAAACCCGATATAGCCACATCACAAGCCGGCCTGACAAAACACAAAGATTTGTGGTTTCATATTTGTTATTACCAAATATATGATCATAAATTTAAATTTTGTGAGAGAATTAATTGGTTGGAATTTTTTTTATTCAAATTTTGTTGTGAAAGAAAAGTATTGTAGCACAATCAGAATAATGGGTTCAAACTTGTGAAACAAACGGGTCCTCACTATCCTTGCAAGACTGGAAGAACAAAATAAAAGTACTGACTCCGTATGAATACTTCTATCAGACCTTTCTGCATCTTCAAATTTTATCGGTAATTCACGCACTATTTCAAGCCCTCGCCACTCATCTGCTCGTTGTTTTCCAGTTGGAGGCGTCAGTAGAACTCCGAGTGCTTTCTGCAATATGGTAGAGGCATCTTATTCATGCATGGGGGGAGGGAAAAAAAGGTGACATGCAGAGTTCATTTTTATTTTGTGATTTGATGCTGATAAAGGACAACCTGGTAAAATTCATCTGCCTCATCAGTGGGAACCATATGAAGCCGAAGACTCTTGGGGCCATAAAATGTTAAGCGTGTTTCTGGAAGAACCTGAAAAGATCAAGATTGACAATTTGTTGGATACGGAGAGAGGGAAAAAAAATACACTGCCATTTAAAACGAGCCTGCAATCAATATAGATGAAACGAAAATAGCAAAACCTTCAAGATGTCTATTCTGACAAGACCTCCCCAAAACAATGAATGACCGTTCAAGCCATTGGGCAAATTGTTGCCCGTTGTCCCATTTTCTGCTAGGATTCGAGATTTCTGGCACATAACCAAAAAGGCAAAATCACTTACTAGAGCCTAAAATAGTAAATAATTGAATATTATGAAAAAATTGAACTTACAGGAAAGGATTGACCCCTAAGCCGACTCTGAGGAGCAAGGGCCGGAAGATCTTCTGCATGAACCACTGCTGCTTGTCTGTGGTGGAGATGAACTCCAGGCGTGTCAAATAAGTTCTGCATCAGTATAGGTTCCATGAACATTGACAACAATATAAAAAATAAATTAAAAAAAATAAACTGTGTACACGTATAGACATTCAGAAAGCAGATAACTTCTTTTGATTAAAACTTACTAAATTTCCAGATATTGAGCTACGATAAGAAAATGGCAACATTTGAAGAGGCGGAGAATTCTTGAACAAAAAAGGAAGCGACGAAATTGCTTACCCCTCCACTTAGGAAGGCATTAATCTGAATTGGACCTAGTGTAGTTCCAGGAACCGCAGATTGTATTGGCTTGTATTTTTGTGCTGCTGCAGCAACCGGATCCTTTTCACCCATTAATTCTGCATTAGGCAAGTTGAGTAAATGATAGATGCTCTAATAAGAGTGTTCAATGTTGAGCAAGAATAGTTGACAATAACTCGAGCTGAAAGGAAAAGTGCTTCACGTTTTTGACATAAATATTTAAAGAGAATCAATAAGCTTTCAAGGATATATAGGATATTGCAAAGATCTGGAACAGACAAAAGAATCACCAATTCTTTAAAAGAAGTTTTGAAGAAATAACTCAGTTACAGCTTACAGGCTTACTGAATACTGTCACCAGTCAGATTGTTCTATACTACTTTGATATTAAGTTCTAGCTTCTAGGTACTATGCCAAGTCCCAAAACCAAAGAGACGGGGCATAACTATTAGAGTGAAAATGCTTCAAATGGCCTTTAATTGTTCTCTCTCTTAATAGCCAAAATGTGGAGCTTATAAGATTGACCAGAATAAAGTAAGAAATTAATAATTCAAACAATGTAGTATGTACAATATCAAAGATCTACAGAGGTAGTTAAATGTCATCAACAAGTGGCAAATTCACAAAGCGAATGATAACAACTTACTTAGAAAAGCAGTTATAAATGCTGATTTCCCAACATTAGCTGAGCCCTATATGGAAGATAAAATATCTCACATATGGAAATTACAAATGTGTCAAAAAATTATATAACAAATATGATTTGTGTGTCATATTTAACATCAGAAATGACAAAAACATGCACTGAATTGCTTCCAGTTCAGAAACTAACCAGAATGTAAACATCCCGCCCCTGCACCAAAAGTCAGCAAAACAGATTAGGTCAAAGAAAATATCAAAATATCAAATGTAAAATCAATACTTTGACCTAAAGAAAGTACTTGAATCTTATTCTTTTCCTAAACTGCTCAGTACATATGTTAAGATCACCATAATCGCTTCCCTAACTGAAGACCACCATTTATTGAAACATTAGCCAAAACCATGATATTACTAAATGATATTTATATGTTAATTAGAGTTCTTAATTTACATAAGCATAGACAGAGAAACACCCAAAAGTATGATGATGGAAAAGGAAAGAACCTTTTTCTCCTTTTGAATCTCTGACGCAACTCCACTTATCCCGACCAAAGACTTTGAACTTGTAAGATGAACACTCAAAACGCTACAATAAAGCAGTTTTGTCTTAAAAAACAGATATTTGAAATTTCAAGAAAAGATGAATATACAAGTTATATCTGTCTCTGAGCAATGCTCCAAATAACCGAAACTCCGTAAGCTAATCCCAAAATATATCAGACCAGCTGAACTGAATCCTTTTGTAAGAACAACAGCATTTCAAAACAAATTACAAAAACAAGCCCAAGGAGTTCAAACTTACTTTAGCTTCTTCTTTGTAGTGGCCTCCACAACCCAATCGCCAATGCAATTTAAATCAGTCCCTTTTGGGAGCAGATCAACCTAATATCAATCGCATAATCAACAAACCATTTCATATTCAAAAATTAAAAACCAAAAAACTCCAGTTTAAATGTTATCACCTTAGTAACAACAAGTATAATAGGATTTGCCCCAGCCAGATCACGAATCCGAGCCAAAAAGCTACCATTGAAGTCCACAATGTCGACCTACAAGTAGTTGGTAAAGTGAGAAACCTGAAGAGGACCTTGTCATCAAGTCCTAAAAATGATCAACTTCTCAAAAGCAAAAGTTTATGCAGTATTTACCAATTTAACAATCAATGCTTTCTCATAGCGCAAATGGGATAGCTTCTCACGAAGCTGTTCAGCGGTGATGAACTGTTTCCCGCCAGAATAACCTCCATTTCCACCCACAGCAGTTATCATGTGCCCATGAGACAGAAGCTTGCACCTCCCACAAAGAACACGTCTAAGCTGACGGTGTTTCTTCTTCTGTCAACCAACATCCGTTTTGAGCCGTAAAATTTTACAAAAATCAAAACTCACCAAACACAAATAAGATTGCTCCATTCTCACACCATATTACACATTTCCACAAACACCTTCTGTGCATACATATTCTCATCTGTACCAATACATAAAATTTTATATAAAAAATCCAAAAAATTGCAAAATTTAATACCAAAGCATATGTCTCAGGGTCTACATATCCCGGAGCATCAACTTCCGAAGTCTGCAGCGGAGCTCCGCAGCCATAACAGCAAGCTACGGCAGTCGAGACCTTCAAGGGCTTATCTTTCTTCTTATTATTATTATTATTCTTGTTCTCTTTCAGAATGAGTTTTGCAGCCTCAAACGAACGGTGTCGTTCGAGAAACCGATCGCCGGGGGTCGGAGCGGCGGCTCCGGTTCCCTCCGGTAAATCGATTTCCGAGACGGGCGACTTGTCGTAGTTCTTTTGGGGATGCGAAAACCTGCAGAAAACGGGAGAACGTTTTTTTGTGGGAATTTGTGGGAGATTTGGATTGAAAATGGTGGGATTGTGGGGGAAAGATAGGGGAGACAGAAAGGCTGAGAGTGTTTTGGGCGCCATTAATGACCGTTGTGAAGGTTTTGCGGTTAAAAAGCGGGTATTGGTGTTGGGACTAGGGATATTTTACAAGCTCAAGTGAAGGCAAAGTAACGAAAAACGATTTTCAGGGGAAAAAATAATTAATTAATTGAATTGACCTATTAAATTAACGGTTCATTTTTAAGGCACGAATAAAAAATATATTTTTAAATATCATTGATTTTGATTTTTTTTTTAATTTCATGTGACGTTAGTAATCACCACAATTAACTAATTATAATTACAACCAATAATTATAGAACACACTATAATAGTTGTTGATGATGATGACAAAACAAAATAGAGAAAAATTTTTTTATGGAAAACAGGAAAATTTATAAAATATATTCATTAGTGATATAAAAAGCCCTTAAATTATGAATATTCACGCTGTTTAATTGAACACGAGCAATGGTATTTTGATAATCGAATTAGACACTACCATTCGCATTTTATTGTATATAAAATTTTATAAATAATATTATTCTATTAATTGAGATAATAACTATATCAAATTAGATTAATGGTGAGGTTAAAAAAACAAAAACCAACAAACTTGAGGGTGAGGGAGTAATCGTTTGAAATTTTGTATGACTTATCGATTTTTTATTGTATAGTAATCGTTTAAGCAATTTCTTTCTAGTCAAATTGATACACAATAATAGTTCATACGGGTGTAATTTAAGAGTGAACTACTACTATTAAAAAAAAAAAAAAAAAAAAAAAAAAAAAAAAAAAAAAAAAAAAAAAAAAAAAAAAAAAAAAAAAAAAAAAAAGGACTTATGTGAGGAAAAAGAGAGAGAAGAGTCCAACAAAAAGAAGAGAGAAAGAAGCAAATAGACAGCAATTACAAATGATGTCTGCAAAGATCTTAATCAATAAAACAACAAAAAAATTGATGAAAGCAAATAGACAGCAATTACACCCCAACTCCATCTGAAACCTCTGCAGATTGGGCCGGGAACACAACATTATCGTAGAGAAGCCCAGCAATTGCAGCTCCGAACAATGGCCCAACCCAATAGGCTGCTTGGTTCTTGAAAGTGCCCGCAACAATGCTTGACCCAAACGCACAAGCTGGGTTCATCGATCCGCCAGAGAAGGGCCCAGTTGCCAGGACATTGGCCCCAGCCGTTAGCCCAATTACTAGAGGCCCAATGGCACCAAATGTGCCCCGTCGAGGGTCACCGGCGGCATAAATAGCGTACACCAATATAAATGTTACAACACCTTCCATAACTGATGCTCCAAACCCTGTCATTTCCTCTGCAATTGTATAGGTTGGAATATGCTGCACAATCCAGTAACAAATATATAAGAACAAGTACAAATGAATTAGTAGTTACTATAAAAGAAGAAAAAGTACAACGAATTAGTCTTCTTAATCTTAATTAGAAGTAAAAAAAAACAATGAATTAGTGTAATAATATTTCAAAACCAAATTTTTATAAAAATTCAAGAAAATGAGAAAAAATGGTAATTACCACTTAGTGAAATAATATGGAAAGGACGGGATGGAGCTTAATTTAAGAAGGTACGAGTTTCATCCCACATTGACTTGAAAATAGTAGGAAAAATAATAAACACAAAATTACAATTGTAATATTATGAGAGCAAGTTTTAAATTGCATAAGTAATCCTCATAGCATCAACCATGAAAAGGTTATCAATATGTCTAAAAAGATTATCAATATGTATATTAAGCAACAATGATATTCCCTTTAAAAATAATAATAATAATAAATGATAAAGTAATAATAACTACATCTCCTTTTTTTTTTTTCTTATTGTAAGTCTATATATAATTAGTACCTGTCCAATGATGACTACTTTCAAAAGAATGCAAGCGAGGACGGAGGCTAGCATCTGAGAAATCCAGTAAAAGAGAGCAGTTGGGACGCTGATATGGCCTCCAATGGCCATTGCGAATGTTACCGCCGGATTCACGTGACCGCCGGAGATATTTGCGGCCATAAACACGGCAGATGATAGGGCGAAGGCGCTGGTGACGGCAACCGCCACCAGACAAGATGGATCCAACGCTGCATTAGGCATCAAATTTCCTGTCATGTCATAAAATCAAAGAATGAGTAAACTAAAACAGCTAGGAACAAAATGACGGAAAAAATGGTGACAACAATCATAAGAAACTTTAATTAACAAAGTGAAATCACGTACTCAGAAACATGCAAAATCCAAAACATGAATCTTTAATTCTTAGAATTTGTTACAGTGTTAAAGTGAAACCTTTCGCAAATATCTATTTTGAATCTTTCATTTCACACGAATTAAATGCGCAACTTCTTCTTATTCGTAGCTTCCTACAAGTTATAAAAAATCAACTTCTTATAATTTTTCCTTTAAATTCAACGTTTCAAAATACTGTCAAAAAAAAATTCCTGCAGTAACCATGCATTTGACACAGAAAACTACTAGTAAAAACAAAACCAAATGAATGTATCGCTATTGCTTATTATAATCTATTTCATTTTGGCTTAAAAAAAATGATCAAGAAACTATACATACATACATACATACATACATATATATATATATATATACACACACTCACGCGATGACATAGCAGAGCCAACGACAGCAAAGACAAAGAAGAAGGTTGAGATGAACTCGGCAATGTATGCTCGGAGGGCATTGAGAGTGATTGATTGTTCGAATCGGGCGACCAGAGATGTTCGAGCCATAATGTGTATCAGACAATTCGCCAATGATAATTTGAAAGTGTATGTCAGTTTCTTGCAGAGAAAACTTTCAGAGAATCGAGGAAGCAAACTGTGTTTAAATCAATGTTTAAACCATATGGCGGTTGGATAAATTCAAATGACAGTTGCGACGTTACGGTTTTTTTTTTGTTTAATAAGAATAGACAAAAACGAGGGGTAACTGCCAAGCCACGTGGCCCTTCATGGTTGGCAGGCCATGATTCCCAGCAGTTTTTATACAAGTTTTTTTTTTTTAATGCAGTTTATTTATACACAGCTTTTATGCTCTTTTTTTTAAGAAAGTATTTTGTTTTTTAAAGAAAGTCTCTAATCTTCTATTTCTTTTCCTCTTTTGTGGGATTCTTCTATTTTTTCAAAACCAATTCTCCTGTTCTACTTATACTTCCCGCTCCAAGAGGGAAAAATCAATTCAAAACCGAAAATTTTTTAAAAAATGAAAAAGAACAAAAAAAAAAAACGTTGATCTTGATACATTTTGTTCTTATTTTGGGCTGCCATTACGGCCCAATACGAGCCACGATTCACGGGTATTAGCCCAATAAAATTCCCCAAGGTAAGCCCACCAATCCAAATCAGACGAGAAGAGAAGGGAGAGAAAGAGGAGAAGAGAAAATTACGTATTTTTTAAGAAACTGACTTACTAAAATTATCCATTTTAAAAAACTCAATCTCTTGATTAATTCTAATATAAAAAGTATAAATATATGAGTTAATGTTAATGAATAGAAATAAAAAGAGTTCTATTTCAAGAGATATTTTTAAAAATTGCCCATGAGAGAATGTATAAATACCAAGCAAAAGAGAGAAAAAAAAAATGAATTAATAACATATATGTCTATTTTACAATGGATTAAAAAAAACAATATTTACAAGTTGTTACATTTGCATGTCTGTAAAATAACCCGTAATGATATTTTTATTCCTAGTTAACTACCTTTCAAAATTAATTATACAACTTCACAACAACCCAAATAAAGAAAGATATATTTAGAATTATATTATATTAATAACCATAAAAGTTTATATATTGATAATATTATTTAATTAAAGACATATCCTAAACACATGGAGTAAAAATTATCATTTTGTGTAATATACTTTAAAAGGAAATTACACAATTTGATTTATTTTTTAGCGGTGAATTAAAATGTGGCTTAAATGTTCAAATATCACTTATATGGCTCATTTTTCTGAATTACATTTGTGGCAACCTAAAAATACCTCTTGAATTTATTTTGTCACCTTTTTAGATTTAGTAACTAATTTTCATATTTTTCTTATAATATTTGAATTCTCTAAAAATTCTCTAAAATATATAAATATGGAAATTACTGCATAATTTTTGAATCTTTCACATTGATTCGTGTCTCTGTTCTAATTTTAGGGTATGTTTAGTATTTGAGTTCAAACCATAATTTTTCACTATGACTTTTAAAATTCATTTTTTTTAGAACAAAACAATGTAGCAAAACTAAAATTATGAATTTGCAATGTAGCATAACTCATATACCAAACATCACCTTACAGATTCTTTGGTGTTTGTGTTCTAATTTTACAGGTTCTTTTGTTTTGCCTTTTATAATGATATGATCATAATCATAATGATATACATATATATTCTTATAATTGTAATGTTTTTATTTTAATGAAATTGTGTAATTTACTTGTTGTTCAACGTTTGTTCATGTTTATTTGACATTTACGAGCATATAGACTCTTATCAATTTCATAATTTGTTGCATGTATTTTAATGATATGAAATTGTTAAAGGTTATTATGTTGATAATTACTCGGTCAATGTTTGAATTACATTGCAAGTGTTTTAATGTAATTTAGACGGAGTCTTTAGGTAAAAGAGAGCAGTTTTTTCTAATAAGGAGAATAGTTTAAAAACAACCTAAAATTTCTTGGTCTAGTTGCAATGAGGAATTTAAATGAGACAGTTCCAGGTTTAATTTCGTGTTATATATATATATATATTTATATAAATAGTTTAAAAAAGTAACTATACATGCATATTAAACCATATATGAAATATTCACAAATTCGAGCAATATTTTAATTCTATAAATTTGTATATGTCATCTATCTCCTTAATCCGAAATATTCTAAAAAAAAAAAAAAAAACCCTCCTTGCACAAGAAAGCGAAACGCGTTTAGTAAAAAACAAAAAATATAAATATAAAAAAAGAAAGTGAAACACAAGAGAATGGAGTTTAGATCTACTGTCTTTAATTTATATTCCATTGGATGTTCTTTACTAAGGGTTCGTTTAGTTGGAGGATTCAAATCATGTAATTTGAATTATTTTTTATTTACGTGTATTTTTTATGAGAAAAAATACTGTAACGAATCACGAATCATGATTCAAATCAGAGAATGAATCCTTCTACCAAACGCCCCCTAAAAATTGGACAGCTACATGAGATAATGGAAGTAGGGCAAACGGAACTACGATGTCTAACATTTATCCGTGTCCGCTTTCAATCACATGCTGCATTTAGAATTTAGAGTATAATTTATTATTTATTATAATATATTTTTTTAAATAAATACATAAATTAAAAACAATTATAAACTCATAAATTAAACGTCAAGTCACTTCCACCTCCCAAGTGTTGAAACCAGCCTTGGAAGTCAAAACCCACCCTCTATCTCGGCGTCAACTTCACGCCGTGTCATAGGTCTCCGCCTCCCTCAAGATCCGAGGACGATCGACCAGATCAAGATCTTCTACGCCAACCCCGACATCATTCGCGCATTCGCCGGTACCGGCATCTCCTCCATTATCACCGTCGGAAACGCAACATTCCCCGCCGCTAAGTCCTGGGTTGCGAGCAACATCCGTCCCTTTTTCTCCAAGCCCATCATCAATCGCATAACTGTTATCGGAGAGAGTGAAATTCTCTTTATATTCCTCGATGAGCAAAACCCATACTCCGGCAAGAAGAAGACCAATCCAACCTGCAGGCCACAAAATTTCAAAAAGAGATCACCTACAGTAGTTTTTTTTTTTTTTTTTTTTTTTTTAAATTCATAGGATTGGGTTTTTGTTGAGATAGTAATTAGAAACAAAGAATTATTATTATTTTTTTATTTTTATGAAAAATTATATGAGCAATACTTTTACCGTCTGTCAATAAAAAAACTATTTTACCTATTGGTTTTTTGAGAACGATTACCACTATAGAGTATTTTAATTCACACGTATAAATCAGTAATTTTTAATTTTAATATTTAAATTTTAAATTTTGTATAAAAGAAAAAAATTATAGTATAATTAAAATTATAAATTTAAACACAAAAATTAAATGAGCCATTTGTAAGCTGAAAAATTATTTATAAATATTTTAGCGTCTTTTATTTCACCGATTTGAGTTTTTAATTTTAAATTTTTACAGTAAAAAATTCTAAAAAAATGTTATATTTAATTTTTTCTGTTACAGTAAAAAGTTTTTAAAAAATATTACATCTTAACTCGAATTAAAAATTTAAATCTGTGAAGTGAACAATGCCTTTGATATTAGTGGAGAAAGAATATAAAGAAAAACCATCAAATTTTTTTGTTAACTCTGTTTGGCCGCGGCCGTTAGCATTATTTAGAGAGAGTTTGATATAAAAATTTATGTTATAATTTAAATTATAATTCATAATTAATGACAGTATTTTTTTTATAAAAATACATATAAATTAAAAATAATTATGAACTATAAATTAATATGAGTTGAGGTGCGAAAATTTTAATTAGCGTCAAATTTTTATTGAAGGGACAGCATATCTATACTCGCAAGAAAAGAGAATAGCTGGGTCTGGTCTGGTGTAGGTGAAGAGCAGAGTGGAAAGAAGGAAGTAAGGAAGCAGAAAAATCAATTGAGTGCCTGAATTGCCTCTGCTGCTTTTGAGGTCAGTAATCTCTCCGTCCTTTTCATTTCTTCTCGTTCTTCTTCTCCACCGTCCAGATCTATCGTAGATATGAGTTAGTTTCCCATGTAATTTCTGAATTCCAATGGAGTTTCGTTTATGTTTCTCGCGATCTTTGCAATGCAATTGTTTTCATGAATTGCAAGCACCTTTTTTTTAGTATCGTAGATATGAGTTAGTTTCCCATGTAATTTCTGAATTCCAATGGAGTTTCGTTTATGTTTCTCGCGATCTTTGCAATGCAATTGTTTTCATGAATTGCAAGCACCTTTTTTTTAGTAAAAAAAAAAAATGAACTCTTTTTTCTTCTTCCTTTTGGATGTGGGACTAAGATCCAAACTCAGCTAATTGCTAAACCTCATTCATTGTCAACCATTTTTTTTTTAAAAGAACGATACGCAATTCAGCCAAAAAAAAAAAAAAAAACTTGAGCAAATCTTCTTCTTCGATTTCGCTGCTCTCGTCTAAGAATTATCGTGTTTAATCTCGGAATAATACTTTCCGTTCATGCCCTTGGCACAAATGAAATCGGAGGAATTGGGGGTAGAGTTCTGCTGAGTTTCGAAGAAATCCCCGTGGAAGTAACTCCACCTTCGATTGCTCTCATTCTGATCCCTGCGTTCCTTGCCTTTATTCCGAAAAGGTCTCTCTTTCTCTATCTCGCCCTGATTTTATTGAAACTTTTGATAGGTTTGTTTGGGAAATCTAACAAACTCTGTCTCTTTTAATTGTATTACGTGACCTTAATTGAAAACATCGACATTCTTCCATATTTGAATCCTTTGTAACTGTTTTCTTATGACCTTTGTGGTGGTTTTTCTGCCGTCGAATCAATTTTGTCTGCTCTTCTGCCTATGGAAAATATGCTCTACTTTTACCTTTCAATCGTTTTTCGAGTTCAACGAACCTCCCACCTTGAAAATTGTGCTCAACTCTTGTTTGGTACTGAGTGATATCCCCGATCTCCCTTGAATGGAAGTGATTCTGTACGGTTCTAAGGCTGCCTTGCCTTTAATCCCTAAAAAAGGTTCAGGAATTGTTTTAGATTTGTTGTGGATCCGGAGATCGTTAGGAATGCCAAGGCAGATTTAAGAAAAAATTAATGTTTTAGTGAAGGGAACTGAACTTACAAAGAGATTTTTTTTTTTTTTTTTAACTTCCTTTGAGACTGTTTATGGAAAATTTGAATATCGTTCTTAATGGAATTTGATATGCAAGATTGGCTTCAAAAAGATTCCTTTGGTTTTATGTTAGATGTCTAATGAAAATGATGAGGAGAATCAGAAATTGGGTGAAGCCCAGATAAACCCGAAATCATCTGGTGAAATCCAAGCAAATTGGTACAGCGGTGTACTTCAACAAGCCTCTGTGTATGGCATAGCTACGGGCTACTGCATATCTGCATCCTTGCTCTCCATCATCAACAAATGGGCCGTCATGAAATTCCCATACCCCGGTGCTTTAACTGCGTTGCAGTACTTCACCAGTGCTTTTGGGGTTCTCGTTTGTGGATGGCTCAAGATCATTGAGCACGACCGGCTTGACCTCCTCACAATGTGGAGATTTCTACCTGCTGCTATCATATTCTATCTGTCCCTTTTTACTAACAGTGAGCTCCTTCTCAATGCCAATGTTGACACATTCATTGTCTTCCGGTCGGTCGTTCCAATATTTGTTGCAGTAGGAGAGACCCTCTTCTTACACCAGCCTTGGCCTGCCTTGAAGACTTGGGTCTCGCTTGGTACCATATTGGGTGGAAGTGTGCTTTATGTGTTGACGGATTACCAGTTCACTTTCATGGCTTATAGCTGGGCTTTGGCTTACCTTGTTAGCATGTCCATAGATTTTGTCTACATAAAGCATGTGGTTATGACCATTGGTTTAAATACATGGGGTTTGGTGCTGTATAACAATCTCGAGGCCCTTCTATTGTTTCCACTGGAACTGCTTATTATGGGTGAGTTGAAGAAGATAAAGCATGAAATCTCGGATGAGTCGGATTGGTATTCTTTTGGAGTGATTTTGCCTGTGGGACTGTCGTGTTTGTTTGGCTTGTCGATCTCTTTCTTTGGGTTCTCTTGCCGGCGAGCTATTTCTGCAACTGGTTTTACAGTTCTTGGGATAGTGAACAAGTTATTAACGGTTGTGATTAATTTGGTCATTTGGGACAAGCATTCAACATTCATTGGAACTCTGGGGCTTTTAATATGCATGTTTGGTGGTGTTATGTATCAGCAATCCACAAGCAACAAGCCTAAGGCAACACAAGAAGTAAAAGCACAACCACAAGAGAACGAGGAAGAACAACAGAAGTTACTCGAAATGCAAAGCAACACGAACGAGAAAAAGGCCACTGATTCACAAGAAGAAAGATGATTACGTATCCTTAATTTTGATCTTGCTTTATTCTTTATTTTTTTTTCTGGTTAAGATCAAGTGCCGTCCAACTACAGTTACTAAGTAAACCCTTGGGGGGCGACTTTTCGGGATTATCTCTACTTGATCAGAATACCTATGGATTGGGCTTTTGCACGCAGAAAATCAATTGTATTTACACTGACAAACAATTAGTTACTTGGTCATTCTGTTTTTTAGACTCCATTCAACCTGGGAAAACCCAGTTAGAATATTGTATTCATCTGCTTTTCTAGTCTTGTTGAAACAGGTTGATTCGAATACTCTCTCAATGGTAATGCTTACCATGTAGATATAGGTGCAGATTATGACGATTTTGCTGGCTCATATTAGAATTTTCAGTCTGTGGCAATAGTTTGAGAAAAGAATTGAAACGTTAAAGCTGAGAATTTTGGTTTGATTTGGTCTAATGTTGTGTAAGTTTTTCCGTTTTAAAACACTCGTGGAGTTCTACAATGATGGTTATCAAACAATGTAGTTCCAGTTAATGCTATTGATTATAGATGACAACTCTGTTATTCTCTTCGTTCATGGTAAGCTCTCTCTCTCTCTCTCTCTCTCTTTTAATAGAATAGAATCATGATCATAAACTGCTATTTCATATGAAAATCTTTTTCCCCTACTAACAGATTATCTAGAATTTTAGGAGGAAACTTGTTTGACAATAAACGCAAGTAAACAAGGAAAAATGTGAAAACAACAGAATTAGGATTTCAAGCGAATATGGTCTTCAAGAACTCAACGCACACCATGAATCTGAACGCTTTTCTGCGTCGCCTTAGCCTTAGATCTTCACATTCTATTGCTCTTCTCACATGCTCAAAGAAGTCTTCCTTGTACAAAATGTCAGGCATATCTAATAGGTTGTCTGCTCCATAGAAGTGTCCATCTCTTTTTCTAAAGCCTTTTGTCAATATTTAGAAGAAACTTCAGTAGAAGAAGATAGCTTGAATGAAACGGCATGAGAATTTCCATCACCATTGTCGTTCATGGATGTGCCAAGCTCACGATAACCTCCTTTCGCCATGAATGAAACAAAACTCAAATTCTTCAATCAAATATAGAAGTAAAAAAATACCAAAAAAAAAAAAAAAA